CTGACATATTTTCTGACATTCTATGGCATTCTATCAGACATTCAACCTGACATTCTATTATGGCATTCTATCTGCCATTTTATCTTATATATACTGACATACATATATATTATATATTCTGACATTCATCGGGCATTCTATCTGGACATTCTGACATTTTATCTGATATCCTATTTGGCATCTATTCTAGAATTTATTCTGACATTCATTGACATTCTCTCTCTGGCATCCTGTCTGTCATCCATTCTGACATTCTATCTCTGGCCTGTGTTCGGGTACATGCGTGCCCTGCACCCGGAGGTCGCGAGCTCGGTCTCGCCATCGCCGCGCCCAAATGCCAAAGTCAGCTGGAGCTTGCGAGGGAGAAGGAGCTGCACCTTTGTTACCTCTTCTAAGCGTTTACACAGCTATTGAAAATCAGTTTCTTTATGGGAAAATCATCTATCATGGGCCATTTTCCATAGCTATAGCAGCTATGTTAAATTGACGAGGGTAACATCTAGAGACCCTCACCTGGCAGGGGAATCAACTGATGGGCATCTATACCAGCTTGAGTTTTCATGGACGAAATACGCTCCCATCCACTGGCAAGTTGCCAGACAATAGAAAATAATCTCTGGTTTCCTGTACCCCATGGCAATCAAACATGGCAAGGGAAAATCCTCAATCTAGTTCGATGATGTTCCATTGCATGAAATGATGTCCAATGCCAATTTAAATGCCCATTTTTAGGAAATTCGCAGCTAGCCATGTTTGATTTTCAACGTGTTGTTTCTTCTGGTCAGCCCGCTCATGTCTCCGAGCACAAGGCCACTGGCCTTGCCAGAATTTGCCCCATGCGCTGCTGCAGCACTTGCACGACATCCCACAATTCCAGGTAGATGGCTTTGTCTCAATTCATGGAGGAATTGCATGGGTTTAAGTGATTTTAACCGATAGATTGAAGCCATGTTTTTCAAACGGCAAGTACGTCACATAATTCTGCAGAAACTCTTCCAGCCTTTGAGACAACTCCAGATAATCAGACTATACGCTGTGCATCCCTCTCAGGACTAAATAGGCCCGCAAAGAGCTTCGAGACATTCAAACAAGGTTTATGTGTTTTTATGGTGTTTGTGATGACAAACCGGGGAGTGGATATGATCAAAATCACGAATATGAGCTGAGAGGTAGAGCTCATGCAATTGCATTTCCGACCTCTAGTGTATCCGGAGCACCGAGGTGACCTAGTGTATCCGGAGCACCGAGGTGACCGAGGTTAACGAAACTGATTGTCTCGTCATTTTCGACTGATTCTAACTCGGTTGACGAAATTCAAACGCTATTCTACAGAGATATGCCTTGACTTAAGTTGGACTTAGGGGTTTTATAAAAGGACTTAAGGAAGTTACCTTGAAGTTAGGTTGCTCTAGGTTTTGTAAGTTAGATTATATTTTTTTCATCTTTTTTGGCTTTAAAATTTGTACTTTTTTTTCGGCATTTGTCATGTGATTTTGGGAAGTTCCGTTTTCCCACTGCATGTCATTTCCTTAGCTTTTGATCTCGAAATGTGAGGAGTTTCTGGCAAAAACAGCGGTTCGGGTGAGCTTGAGCGAAAAACACAGCTACGGATTTCAGTCTTGAGGAAACACAGAAAAAACACGTTTTTGACACATACGCGTTTCCAAGCACGATGGTGATGGGAGCTGGAAACTTAATCGCGTTCCCTTGCCATTTTGGTATTTTCATGAGGATACACATGTGCGTTCCCCTGTGTTTGTGGAAACACATCCCGAATGTCGAGATTTTTGATCACCATGTGCGTAGATGTGGAAACACATCTTTAACACATACGCGTTTACAGTCACTTTTTATATCTCTGTGTGAAAACCCATACGTATTTACTTGTCCTGGAAATGTGTACGTATTTACTTGTCCTGGAAATGTAAAATCTAGAAACACATGCGCCTTTCTTGTTTTCTTCTCTAAACAGCAGGAAACACGTGCGCGTTCCACGCCAAGCTTTTCTCATCTTCTCTTAAACAACAAGAAACGCCAGGATTTGAAGTCCTGCAGCGTTGCTGCCTGTGCTATCACATTTCAGCTGCAGCCATGCTTCCCGTGAAAATGTGCTCCACTTGGGCAGAAAAATTGTCCTGCCATGCAAAACATCCGTTTCCAGGTATCTTTGCTAACTTGTTTGTATCTTTTTTGGACGTATGTTCTGTCTCATGTTATATTTCCCTATATATTGATTTAAAAAAAACAACATGGCTTACACAAGTTACCCCCCATTTATAAATATACTTGAACCATGTTATAAAACTAAATATACAACATATAAAATGATTTGGATGTCAAGGCACATCTCTGCAACATATTCTAACTGGGTTGACGAAATTCAAACGCGTGCAGGTAAGAGCCACTGGAAGCACCCTGTCGCCACACTGCTCTGAGGTGGCTTCATATGTCCCGAAAGCGCCTGAGCGTACGGTTCTTCAAAAAAACTGAGATAATACGGTTTCATCAAATCTTCACGTCTTACATCTTCACGTCTTACATCTTCTCTCTATCTTCTCTCTATCTCTCCCATTCTCTTCTCTTCCTCTTCTCTTCTCTTCTCTCCCATTCTCTTCTCTTTCTCCTCTTCTCTTTCTTCTCTTCTCTTCACATCTTACATCCTCTCTCTATCTCTCTCTCTATCTCTCTCTCTCTCTCTCTTCTCGCCTCTCTCTTCTCTTCTCTTCTCTTCTCTTCTCTCTCTTCTCTTCTCTTCTCTTCTCTCTCTTCTCTTCTCTTTTCTCTTCTCTTTTCTCTTCTCTTTTCTCTTCTCTTTTCTCTTCTCTTAACTTCTCTTTTCTCTTCTCTTTTCTCTTCTCTTCTCTTCTCTTCTCTTCTCTCTTCTCTTCTCTTCTCTTCTCTTCTCTCTTATCTTCTCTTCTCTTCTCTCTTCTCTTCTCTCTTATCTTCTCTCTTCTCTTCTCTCTTCTCTTCTCTTCTCTTCTCTTTCTCTTCTCTTCTCTCCTCTCTTCTCTTCTCTTCTCTCTTCTCTCTTCTCTTCTCTCTTCTCTCTTCTCTTCTCTTCTCTCTTCTCTTCTCTCTTCTCTTCTCTCTTCTCTTCTCTCTTCTCTTCTCTCTTCTCTTCTCTTCTCTTCTCTTCTCTTCTCTTCTCTTTAGGAAGTCCGTCACTTTTATAACCTATTTATACCTGCTTTGCATGCACGAACCTGGCCATCTTGCTTACTGCTGTGCATGCTTTCGTTTTAAATTACAACAGCCATACTGCCGTTACATGCTTTCATTTTCCAGGACTGTTTCACGCCTGTGTTGCAGCCAAGGTCTGGTGATTGCTTTACGTGTATCCATCTCGGATGCATCCAGTCAGCACCGACCCTCAAGAATTGCTGCCCTTGACACTCGAAATCTCAGAAATGAGGTGGTCGCCTAGCGACTTTGAAATTTCACGATCTTGTTTTTTGCTCAAACCATCGAAACTTTGTGGATGAAGTTGTTGCAGCAGATTACTACGTCCATACGGCCGTGACATGTAGAGCAGCAACATGATTTCATTTTCATGGATTCTTTGACACCTGTGCTGCCACCAAGGTTTGGAACGCACTTTGTGTGTCTGTGTGTGTGTGCGTGTGCGTCTGTGTGTGTGTGCGCGTGTACATGTGTGTGTACATATGTGTGTGTGTGTGCCGGTTGGTGTGTCCATTCCTCTCTGTGTGTGTGTGTACGTTTGTGCGTCAAAGCAGTCTCTAAAACGTTTGGTTGTAAAAGAGTCTCTGTCTAAAAACGTCTGTGTGTAAAAGCGTCCGTGCCTAAAAGCGTCTGTGTAAAAGTGTCATGTGTGTAAAAACGTCTGCATGTGAAAGCGTCCGTGTGTAAAGGAGCCTGTGTGTAAAAGCGTCTGTGTATAAAAGCGTCTGTGTCTAAATGCGTCTGTGTGAAAAGGATGTAAGTATTTGCGTGTAAAAATGTCATATGTAGAACCCTGAGTTTCATACATCTTTTGTATGTTGTCTCACAATATATTGTCTTGATACTCTTCTGCTCGTCTGCCTATGATACATCTGTAATATATTGTCTTGTAATATACTGTCTTGATATTAACACTAAGAAGAAATTGCTCCTCTACGCTCTCGGGCCATCTGTCGTCTAGTTTCAAATGGTAATCGGGAACTTGAAAGGCAGAAAGCAGCCACGATGGAGTCCAATCTACGCTCATGCCTTCATCTGAGTGCCTGATGTGCCTGTCTCCGCAGAATCTTCAGGCGCTGACTTCTCTGTGTTGACACCTTCCGCAAGACCTTCCGCGGCAGCTGGCTCCTGGGCTGCCTGATTCTGGTCGACCGGTGGCACCGGTGGACCCGGCCGCCACCAGCGAGGAACGAAGATGGGCGTTGCGGGCGGCTCCAAGGCGTGGGCTGCGCGGTCACTGAGTCCATCCAGGAGCCGTTGCGAGGGAGCCTCCAAGCCAAGGGCTTGAACGAGGCTCAAGTGGCCCGCCATGTGCAAAGATCACCGAAGATCTGCGATGTAAAGCTGGGCTAATCTTGAGCTCTAAAGACCGCCGGTTGTCTCAACGGTTCGTCTCCTGATTCAGCAAGCTCCAAAGGTATCCAAAAGTTTACAAAATGCATTGGAATGTATTGGGACCAGTGGAATCAACACTTTGAACAGGATAACCTATGATTTGGAGGATTGAAAGCACCGCCCCGGGCCCACTTTGGTTTGCTGCCGTGAGGCTCAGAGAAGATATGCCATTGATTGGTGGCTTTGGTGCCCAATAGATATCAGTACAGCAACCCCCAAGTCGTTAGAAGAGTTGGAAACCTGGAAATCATGAGGGAAGCCTCATCCATAACATCCTGAAAAGAATTTTCTATCTTTATGGGAACCCTGTGAGCATGATTTTGCGGGTGCCACACAAATTTCTCTTGAGTACAACCAGAAGGAATTTAATTTCGAGTGCTACGCGCCAGGAATGTTTTATGTAGATTCACTGGGGATGCGACGTTCATCTCCAAGATGTCGCCTTGCAGGGCATCGGGATTGACTTCACGTTTAGTCAGTCATTGAGGAGCGTTCGGGATAGTCACATCAAAAAATCAAACACACATATCACATATCCGATTCCCCTTTGAAAATTATATTATATTACTATTACCCTTAGGCTGCGGAAACCATTTCAGAAGACAATCCATATAACTAGCATGTATACTATCGTGGGTGCAACATGGTGCAACAATCTATAGCAGACAATCTGATACACACCAAACATAAACACCCAACTCTACCATGTCCAAGTGGAGGTGGCATTGGGTCTACCACATTACTTCTATATAGTATAGATAAGAACGCGCAACATCCATCTTCCACGTGTTCCGCATTTCCTACTAGGCCCAAAGCAACGCAAACTGAAAGGGTATGGGGTCTGAGATAAACACAGGTGAAAAAAAGTCTGGACATGGTCGATGTTAATTGGTTCCAATGATGTTTGCCCCAGGCCATCCCAGGCCGCCAAGCACCTGTGAGTTTCACCACCAGGGCATTGGTTTCTTCATCCAAAAAACCAAGCTGACTCCTGTGCTGGCGGCTATCAGGTGCCGAGGTTGAAACCGGCGGCATTGATGCTGGAATATGGTGTAATCACATTTTTTGATATCCAAGAAAATAAAAATATCACAAGATTTCATGGCAAACACATGCCTTCCCCATCAAAAACAACCATAAATTGGTGGCAAAAAAGACACGCGTCCAGTTCAGCACCCAGGAAATCTGCACACTGAACACTGGGATGCCCACATGCTGCGTGGCCGGCTGTTGAAGGTGCCAAACTGCTTCATGTTACTCACCTTTCGCATCTTCCGACCTGCCGAAACCCGCAGCAATCCAGAAAAAAAACCAAAGAGTACCCCCAACTGCCAGAAACAAAAACAGTTTCAAACACGCAATGAGTGAAGTATGTTTATTGCCCCGCTCTCGTTACTCTAGAGGTCGGGCGTGCAAGGCGCAATCACAGCACACACACACACACTTTTTGAAAAACCGTTTTTCCAAACGCTTTTGCAATACTGTCGCCAATATTCCCGAAGCTCGTGCGAAGGGTTTTTCCCAAAGAACTGCTGTCCGCCTCACTCTTCACTTCATCTACCTAACATACATCATCCACATCTCATATGTCCTTTACATCACCTACATCTTCTATACAATCTTCTACGCCATCTTCTCTAGATCTACATCTACACCAATCATCACCATCATCATCACCACCATCATCATCATCACCTACAGCTGTCTCACCTACACTATCTACACAACCTACACATTTTTTCCATCAACCTCATCTATATGACATGCTTCATCTACAACACATACATTACCTACATCATCATCTACATCACTAAATCCTCTACATCATCCACATCACCTACATCTTCTGCATCATCTTCCCTGCATCATCATCATCATCATCACCACCGCCACCACCATCATCATCATCACCACCAACATCATCATCATCACCATCATCATCATCATCATTATCATCAACTATCTCACCTACACCATCTACATCACATGCACAATCTTTTTCCATCAACCGCATCTACATGACAGACATCATCTACAACGCATACATGACCTACATCATCATCTATATCACTGCATCCTCTGCACCACCTACATCTTCAAATCTATCTAACCTTACATCACTTGCAACGTCATCCTCATCATCTACAACATAGACAACATCACCTACATCAGCTACAGGTGATCAACTTCTAGGGAACCCCTACAAAACTTGAAAAATGTCATTTACACAGGAGTTGACTTGCAGGTGATCCACTTCTACTCGAACTCCTACAAGACTCCTGCCTGCAAGGTCATTTGCACAGAAATTGTTACACAGGAGTTGCTACGCAGGAGTTCAGCTAACCTCCAGGTGATCAAATTGTATCTGAACTCCTGCAAAATCAGGCTTCTCCAGTTCTTCTATTTCTCTTTGGCGGCAGGGACAGCCAGGCGGTGGCTTACGAAACGTTACCCTCTGCGGCGTGTCGGACACCCAAACTTGTTTGTCCTTGGGCAACCCTCTGCGGAGATCGCGCGTGTCGGATGGTCAAACATGTTTTGTGGTGAAATGCGAAACTTCTTTGCCCGCAGCAACCGTCTGCGGAGATCGTGCGTTTCGAACGCCCAAACATGTGGAAGAATGTGAATTTCTTTTGGGCAACTTGTGATTCTGAAAGTTCAGATGCAAGCGTGGCATGAAAGTCAAACGGCAATAACTGTGGGAAAACTGCGATTTTTTAAACGTCAGATGCAAACGTTCAAGAATTGGTAAAAAAATGCGACTTTAACTTTTTCCATTTTGAAACGTCAGGCACAACCGTTTCGCGCGAAAAAAAACTCGTGTAAAATTGCGGTTTTACAAGGTCAGGCACAACCCTTTCACGCAAAATGATTGTCCAATGTCAAAAATTGCGATTCTCCAAAGCCGGATGCAACCCTTTCGCACGATATGATGGCCGAACGTCAAAAACTTACGTAAAATTGCGATTTTTGGAAATGTGAGTGTGAGTGTGTAAAAGCTGCTCTGTGGAATCGGTTTTTCTGTGGGAAAGCGTCTGTGTGTAAAAGCTTCTCTGTGCGTAAAAGCCTCCGTGTGTACAAGCTTCTGTGTGTAAAGGCGTCTGTGTGTAAAAGCTCCTGTGCGTAAAGGCTTCTCTGTGTGTAAAAGCTTCTGTGTGTAAAAGATTCTCTGTGTAAAGGCTTCTCTGTGTCAAAGCTTCTGTGATTCTCTGGAAAACAATCTGTGTCTAAAGGCTTCTGTATGTATAGGCGTGTATATGTCAAAGCGTCTCTGGGTAAATGCTTCTGTGTGTAAAAGGCATCTGTGTTCAAAAACTTCTGTGTGTAGAAGCATCTGCCGCATCTGTGTGAAGAACTTTTGTGTAAATGCCCCTGTGTGTAAAGACCTGTCTGTGTAAAGGCTTTGGCATTTGCGTGTTTAAAGTTTCTGTGTGTAAAAGATTGTAAAAGCTGCTCTGTGCAAAGGCCTCTCTCTGTGTAAAAGCTTCGGTGTGTAAAAGCTGCTCTGTGTAAACCCTGCTCTGTGAACAAGCTTCTATGCGTAAAAGCGTCTGCGTGTAAAAGCTCTGTGTGTAAATGCGTGTGTGTAAAGCTTTTGTGTGTGTAAATGTTTCTGTGTATAAAAGGTGCTCTGTGTAGAGGCTTCTCTGTGTAAAGCTTCTGTGTAAAAATTTCTGTGCGTAAAAGCTTCTGTGTGTAAAGGCCTCTATGTGTAAAAGCGTTCGTGTATAAAAGCTTCTTTGTGTAAAGGCTTCTGTGTGCAAAAGCTGCTCCGCGTAAACGCTGCTCTGTGAAAACAAACCTGAGTGTAAAAGCTGGTCCGCGGAAAGGCTTCGCTGTGTGCAAGCTGCTGTATGTAAAAACCATTTGTGCGCAAGTTCCTTCCCGCAAACGCTTGTCTGTGAAAAATCTTCTCTGTGTACAAGCTTCTGTGTGTAAAAGCTGCTCTGTTTAAAGGCTTCTCTGAGTAACAACTTCTGTGTATAAAAGCTTCTGTTTGTAAAGGCATTGCTGCGCAAAAGCTTCTGTGTAAAAGCTTTCTTCTGAAAAAGGCTGTAAAAGTTTCTGTGTCTAAAAGCTTCTTTTTGTAAGGCGTGTGTGTGCACAAGCTCCTGTGTGTAAAAGCTTGGGCATCTGCGCATTAAAGTTCCTGTGTGTAAAGCTTCTTTGTGAAAAAGCGTCTGTGTGTAAAAGCCGCACTGTGTAAAAGTTGCTCTGTGCAACGGCTTCTCTATGTAAAAGCGTCTGTGTGTCAAAGCTGCTCTGCGTACAGGCATCTATGTGTGTGTGAAGGCGTCTGCATGTAAAAGCTTCTGTTTGTCCAAGCTTCTCTGTGTAAAAGCCTCTCTGCGTCAAAGCTTCGGTGTGTAAAAGCTGCTCCGCGTAAACGCTGCTCTGTGAAAACAAATCTGAGTGCAAAAGCTGGTCCGCGCAAAGGCTTCTCTGTGTGAAAGCTGCTGTGTGTAAAAACCGTTTGTGCTCAAAGTTCCTTCCCGCAAACGCTTGTCTGTGAAAAAGCTTCTCTGTGCAAAATCTTCTCTGTGTAAAAGCTTCTGTGTGTGTAAAAGCTGCTCTGTTTAAAGGCTCCTCTGAGTAAAAGCTTCTGTGTGTAAAAGCTTCTGTTTGTAAAGGCATTGCTGCGCAAAAGCTTCTGCGTAAAAGCTTTCTTGTGAAAAGGCTGTAAAAGTTTCTGTGTCTAAAAGCTTCTTTTTGTAAGGCGTGTGTGTGCAAAAGCTCCTGTGTGTAAAAGCTTGGGCATCTGCGTGTTCAAGTTCCTGTGTGTAAAAACTTCTTTGCAAAAAAGCGTCTGTGTGTAAAGCTGCTCGTGTAAAGGCTTCATGTGGTAAGGCTTCTTTAGAAACGGCTTTTCTGTGTAAAAGCTTCTGTATGTAAAAGCGTCTGTGTAAAAGCTGCTCTGTGTAAATCCCTCTCTGTGTAAAGGCTTCTGTGTGTAAAATCTTCTCTGTGTATTTTTTCGCTGTGTAAAAACTAGACGACGGTTGGCCCGAGAGCGAGTAGGTGTATAGGTACTCAGATGTGTTATGTAGTTGTATGATTTGCAGACGCCAAAGACTTGCATGAATATGTTCGTGAGAACGTTACTTAAGATCATGTGAAAATGTTCATTATGTGTAAGTGTCAAGATAACGATAAGAAGATGTGAAGATGTCAGGGTTTTAGTTGCAAGAGACAGGCAATGTATGCTGTATAGAAGGTTATTGAAGATGTGAAAAATACAAACATACAGATATGCTGATAGGCTCGCAAACACATACACACAGACACACACACACACAAACCCACACACACACAGAGCAGCTTTTACACACAGAAGCTTTTACACACACAAGCCTGTACACACAAACACTTTTACACACAGAAGCTTTTACACACAAACACTTTTACACACAAAAGCTTTTACACATAGAAGCTTTTACGCACAGAGGCTTTTACATATAGAAGCTTTTACACACAAAAGGCTTTACACGCAGAAGATTTTTCCCATACAGTCAGACACTTTTACACACAGACGCTTTGACACACAGAAGCTTTGACACACGGCAAGCTTTTACACACAGACACTTTTACACACAGACGCTTTGACACACAGACGCTTTTGCACGCAGAAGCTTTTTACACACAGAAGCTTTTACACACAGAAGCTTTTTACACACAGGCACTTTTACACAGACACTTTTACGCACAAAAGTTATTACACACAGGCGCTTTTAGACACAGAAGCTCTACACACAGACACTTTTACACACAGACGCTTTGACACACAGACGCTTTTGCACGCAGAAGCTTTTTACACACAGGAGCTTTTACACACAGAAGCTTTTTACACACAGGCACTTTTACACAGACACTTTTACGCACAAAAGTTATTACACACAGGCGCTTTTACACACAGAAGCTCTACACACAGACACTTTTACACACAGAAGCTTTTACACTCAGACACTTTTACACACAGACACGTTTACCCACAGAAGATTTTACACACAGAAGCTTTTACACACAGAAGCTTTTACACACAGAAGCTTTTACACACAAACACTTTTACACACACAAGTTATTACACACAGACGCTTTTACACACAGACGCTTTTACACACAAACGCTTTTACACACAGAAGCTTTTACATACAGATGATTCTACACACAGAAGCTTTTACACACAGAAGCTTTACACACAAACGCTTTTACACACAGAAACTTTTACACACAAACACAAAAAGCTTTTACACACAGAAGCTTTTAGACACAGATGCTTTTACACACAGAAACTTTCTTTACACAGACACTTTTACACACAGACACGTTTACCCACAGAAGATTTTACACACAGAAGCTTTTACACACAGGCGCTTATACACACAGACGCTTTTACACACAGACACTGTGACACACAAGTTATTACACACAGAAGATTTTACATATAGAAGCTTTTACACACAGACGCTTTTACACACAGAAGCTATTACGCACAGAAGCTTTTACACACAGAAGCTTTTACACACAGAAGCTTTTTACACACAGACACTTTTACCCACAGAAGATTCTACCCCCCAGCAAGGGTTCCAGAAACAGTTGCCAAGCAAGGTTCCCAGGAACAGGTTCCCAAGCAAGGTTCCCAAGAACAGGTTTCCAAGAAAAGGTTGCAGACAAGGTTTCCAAGAATAGGTTCGCAAGCAAGGGGTTTCCAGGCAAGGTTCCTGGGAACAGGTTTCCAAGCAAGGTTCGCAAGACCAGGTTCCCAAGCAAGGTTCGCAAGAACAGGTTCACAAGCAAGGGTTTCAAGAACAGTGCTTCAAGTTCCCAAGCAAGGATTCCAAGAACAGGTTTCCTTGCAGGGTAGCAAGGTTACCAGGCAAGGTCCTTGGGAACAGGTTCCCAAGCAAGGTTTCCACGAACAGGCCCCCAAGCAAGGTTCCCAAGGACAGGTTTGCAAGCAAGGTTCCGAAGGACAGGTTCCTAAACAAGGTTCCCAAGCAAAGTTACGAAAAACAGGTTCCCGAGCAAGGTCCCAATGAACAGGTTTGAAGCAAGCAGGCGAAGTTTCCAAGAACAGGTTCCCAAGAGAAAGTTCCCAAGAACAGGTCACCAGGCAATGCTCCCAAGAGCAGGTTCCTAAGAATAGGCTCCCAAGAACATGTTCCTAAGCAAGGCTCCCAAGAACAGGTTCCCAAGCAACGTTCCGATAAACAAGTGTCAAGCAACGTGTCCAAGAACAGTTGCCCAGGCAAGGATCCAAGAACATTGAACAACAGAATACTGCAAAGTTTGAAGAATTGTTCTAATAACGGAACGGAGAGATTGAAGAACTAGTTTTGCTTCAAAACTTGATACAGCACTCGCACATGGATAAAAAAACTAGACGAAAGCGTGGCATGAAAGAAAGCAGGAGGGAGGAGACGAGAAGATAATACACAAGAAAAATGATGATGGTGATGATGATGACGACGACAATGATGATGGCGATGACGATGACGATGATGAATGGCGATGGAGATGATGATGAATGACAGCTGACGCGAGTCAAATGTCATATATCCACGGTTTCATGCCTTTTTTGTCCCCACAGAGGGTTTGCTCTAGGGCTGGCACCTGAGTGACAATCAGAATCAAAAGACATGTTGTTCCCGAGAGCCTCTGAGCGAAGGGTTCTCCTAATAGTGGGGGTCTGTCAAAGATTTTCACATCTTCACATCCTTACATCCTCACATCTTCACCTCCTCACATCTTCACATCCGCTCATGCTCACATCTTCACATCCTCACATCTTGACATCCTCACATCTTTACATGGTCTCATCTTCACATATTCTTATCTTCACTAGAATCTTCACATCTTCTCAACTTCACATCGCCACATCTTCACATCTTCTCATCTTCACATTTTCACATCATCAAATCCTCACATCTTCACATCCTCACATCTTCACATCTTCTCATTTTCACATTTTCACATCCTTACATCCTTACATCTTCACCTCCTCACATCTTCACATCTGCTCATCCTCACATCTTCACATCCTCACATCTTCACATCCTCACATCTTGACATCCTCACATCCTTACAAGGTCTCATCTTCACATATTCTTATCTTCACATCTTCTCATCTTCACATTCCCACATCTTCACATCTTCTCATCTTCACATCTTCACATCCTCAAATCCTCACATCTTCACATTTTCACATCTGCTCATCCTCACATCTTCACATCCTCACATCTTGACATCCTCACATCTTTACATGGTCTCATCTTCACATATTCTTATCTTCACATCTTCTCATCTTCACATCCTCACGCCTTCACATCTTATCATCTTCACATCTTCACATATTCTCATCTTCACATCTTCACATCCTCACTTTTGCATCTTCACATCCTCACATCCTCACATCTGCTCATCTTCACATCTTCACATCCTCACATCCTCACATCTTCACATCCTCACATCTTCACATCTTCTCATCTTCACATCCTCACATCTTTACAAGGTCTGATCTTCACATCTTCTCATCTTCACATATTCTCATCTTCACATCTTCACATCCTCACATCTTCACATCCTCACATCTTCACATTCTCTCTTGCCCTCTTTCTCTCTTGCCCTCTTGCTCTCTTGCCCTCTTCTTTTTCCTTCTTTTCTATTTCTCTCTGAAGCGCGGGGCAGCGGCAACCCTTTCGCACGAAATGAGGTTCGATCGCCAAAAACTGCTGTAAAATTGCGTTTTTGAAGTGTCGGTCGCAACCCTTTCGCACGAAACGAGTTTCGATCGCAAAAAAACTGATGTAAAATTGCGATTTGGAAGTGTCCGTCGCAACCCTTCCGCACGAAACGAGGTTCGATCGCCAAAACTGAGGGAAATTGCGATTTTGAAGTGTCCGCGACAACGCTTTCGCACGAAATGAGGTTTGATCGTCGAAAACTGCGGTAGAATGGTACTTCTGTGTGTAAAAAGTGTCTGTGTGTAAAAGCGTCTGTGTGTAAAAGCGTCTGTGTGTAAAAGCTCCTGTGTGTAAAAGCTCCTGTGTGGAAAAGCTTCTTTGTGTAAAAGCTTCTTTGTGTAAAAGCTTCTTTGTGTAAAGCTTCTGTGTGTAAAAGCTTCTGTATGTGGGAACCTGGCTTGGGAATCGTTACTGGTAACCTTGCTTGCGAACCTGTTCCTGGAAAATTTGATTGGAAATCTTGTTCCTGGGGTGGCTGAAGACCCCAAGCTTTTGCTGTTGGGGAAAAAGGTTCCCAAGCAAGTTCCCAGGAAGAGGCTCCCAAGCAGGTATCCAGGAAGAGGTTCCCAAGCAAGGCTAAGTTCTTCGGAACCGCTTGCAAGTACGGTTCCCAAAAACGGTTCCCAAGCAAGGTCCAAGGAACCGTTTCCAAGCAAGGTTCCAAGCAGGAACAAGGCTCGCAGGAACAGGTTGTCAAGCAAGCGTTCCCAGGAAGAGCTGTTCCCAAGCAAAATTTCCAGGAACAACTGGGAACCCTTGCTTGCGAACCTCTTCCTGGGAACCTTGCTTGAGAACCTCTTCAGCAACCTTGCTTGAGAAGCTGTTCCTGGGAACCTTGCTTGGGAACCTTTTCCTGGAAACATTGCCTGGGAACTTTTTCCGGGAACCTTACTTGTGAACCTGTTCTTGGGAAACTTGTATGGGCAGCTGTTCCTCGGAACCTGTGGCTGGGAACCTCTTCCTGAAAACCTTGCTTGGGAACCAGCTTGCTGGGAACTAGGCAGCAACAGTAACAAGATATAACAATATACACAAGCTGTTTCATACGGAAACAACTCCATTGTGGCCCGGACAATCCAGCTTCAGCTTTGGCTTAGGGATCTTCTCCAGTTTCGCAAAAGCGCCATTGCCCTTCATGTAGAAGGGTTTGATGTCCTGGCTGAAGAAAAGCACCGTGTTTTAGCCAGCCGGGGATGTATCTCTCTTGAACAAATGAAAAAACATCTACCAACATCTACCATATGTATGATATGTACACAAACATGAAATCAATCAGTGTTCGCATTCATTCCGACTGGCCGAATGGGTGTTCCATATTAATTTGGACCGATCCATCTCCAAAAACATGCTAATTCTTGAACCTCAGTCAGAAGATTGAGAAGTTTCAGGCCGAATGCCTTTCCTACTTCTCCAAATGATCAGTTCCTACAACCTGCCGCTATTCCCACTCGTACCTACTTGAACTGGCTGGGTTTTCGAACGGGATTCCCATAGCGGATTCATCCCTGTTCTTTCTGCTATAACAATCATACAACCCACTAACCAATCATCATGTCTGAACTCAATACCCATCAAATTGATTCAAAATGTGGCTGGTCAAACTCAATCATTAATGGTAACAATACCCACCAAATAGCAATCAACCAACAGGGGTCTTAACGAAAATCATCGCTGACCCCAGGCCTCACAAACGACCTCTACGTTGCTAAGATTGCCGTTGTCCCGGCTGCATGGGTTCTCTGTGAGTCGTAAAACTCTCCTTGGCCGAGCAGCCGCCATAGTCAGTACCCATCTGAATATCTAATTGTCCAAGTTGTAGTTATCTAGTATTCCCACTCAGTCTTCGACAAAGTTTAACTGGGGCTTTCACAACGACAAAGTTCAACTTGGTCTTTGGAAGCGACATGTGTTTACTGGGCATTATCAGACCCAAATGAGTACTAGTATAAATATATACCGGACTCCAGAGTTTCAAACAAATCCCACTCCAAACCCAGAGCGTGAAAAGTGCGTGAAACGACCGTGAAAAACCCGTGAAAAGACAGTGAAAAACCCGTGAAAACCAATCAAAAACTTGAGCATGGAAACCACATATTTTTATTCAGAATTCTGAGGATTGATTTACGGATTCGATTAGGCTCAGGGGAAAGGTCATCCTTTTTTGACCAGTATGGCCAAATGGTAGATATATGTCAGCAGTCAATGAGTGTCTTTAAGTAAAGTCATGGCTTTACTTGGACGACAGCGTTTAACCTTGTTCTTGGAAGTAGTGGGATTATTTTGTATTATCAACTTATATGACTATATCTAATTATGATTATAAGTTGATTATATAAGTCATATAAGTTGACTATATGAAATTATATGACTATATCAACTTATATGACTATATCTAATTATATCAAATTAGTTCATTTCATGATTGTAAGTTGACTTGGAACTCACTGCCAGAGCTTCGATTTTTACTTGTAAGCCAAGAAGACATGTGTCACATATGTCATAATTTGATTATAGACATATACCCTCTGGTAAACTAACGTAGCGGACTAGAAAATCACCATTATTCATGTGTAAAACAAATATTTCTATGGCAATTTATCCAATAATATTATCCATTATTATCCTGGTTGGTGGTTTTAGCCAACTTGAAAAATATTAGTCAATGGGAAGGATGACATCCCATATATGAAATGGAAAATGAAAACAATAACCACCAACCAGTAATAGTTGTGTATCTCACTGTAACTTCTGAAAGATAACGTGCTATATGTTGTTATGATGGGGTGTAGACACAAAAGTCAATCACCATAGTTGAATATACTAGGGTTTGAGTGATTAAATGTCCCGTACAGTAAATGCAATTTTCACCCGCACTTTTCTGATAGTGGATTTGGTTCAACTTCGCTGAAGTATTAAGTTGGGGATTCTCTTCCCAAGAAGAATGAAAAAGTTAGTTGAAAAGTGGCACGTTCGTTGATAGACTTGGTCCATGTCTTGGTATTCACCTAATAATTAGCTGCAGCGATGGGGCTGCCTATAGACCCCCCAAATACCACCATGGTAAAAGTACCTTAAAATCATGGGGTAAAAATGGATGAAACACATTTCTATGATCTTTGATGGCTACTTGGAGGGTCAAACTGTGCAAAGATCTGCAGAGCTTCAGGCTCTGAAAGAGGTTGATCACAGGCAGGCTCGAGACGCCTGGCACAGCTGTTGTTACAGCCTATCCCATGGGGATGCTTCAATCAAGAAATGGGATACAAGTCAAAATGACATCTTGTTTTGTTGAGTCCGATCCATCTTGAAATTAAATGGCATATTTCTAGGATGGATAAATGGAAAATCACTCACACACGCATAGTTCAAACAAGCACCGAAATCACGAACTTTGGAGCATCCACTGAGATGATACATCTACTCGGAATATATATATATATATATATAACATATGTAATCGTATATATTGTTGCATACATTTATTGTAGATCACACATAGCTATATATATATGTTATATTATATTTATTTACATGTATATACATAATATATTACATGTTTACATGTACATATGATTACACTTGTATATGATGTGTACATATATATACAGTATGTTACATATATTGACATAGCTATACAATTTAGATTACAATGCATATGTATTGAATTGTATACATATATAATGTTACATATATATTATGTTATACATGAAAAAAATGTGTATATATAATATGTATTATGTAATACATTGTTTTAAATCAATAGTGTATTATGTATATTCCATCTGTAAATGATATCCGATTGTTTTAAAATATATTATCCACTTACTACTCAACTTTCTGGTAGAATGTAAATACCCTGCAACTTTTTTTGGGGGCAAATCAACCGGAGCCTGTGATCTCATTGTAGGACAAATCTAGCCTTTGCAGCGAACAGAACAAACAACAACAAATATTGTAAGAGTGAGGGTGCACATTAATCAAAATCGGGGAACCCAATGCTTCATAAATTTGACAAACAACAAAAAACAACATCTGAAACTCTCTGGGTTTTGAGCTGTGACCCACACAAAATATCTGGGATACTGTTCAATGCAGTGCCATGGCCAGACCTTATTCTCACTGTAAAACAGCGGGGCCAAGAAAAAAAAAAAAACAGGCAACAGGTGATTTTTCTGTCTCCAAATACGCAAGGAACCAGTCGGATGATTGCCAACGGTTTCTCGATAATTACCTATATGAGAAAAACATGTTTTAATGGGCGACAGTGCAGCACCAAACCATGGTTGGGGTCCCCTAAATGTTATTCAGGCAATAGTTCGGTGGGGAACTCCCTTCAACAGGATACCTTCCCACATGTTTCGTATGTCCATTTTCTTTGAAACCCGAGATTCGGAACACACATGCTGGGCTAAAAAATCACTAATCAATCACAATTCCAAGTCGCAAATCATACCCCAGGTTTTCCCTCTGGTTTGTAATCAGCTACACGGCTAGGAAAACCGCACCAAAAAATGTAGGTTTTTCGGCAAAGCATCGAACGCGGGAAATTTTCCAGCAAACCATGAAGCCGACAATTTCTGCTGCCAGGCAACTCTTCCAAATATGGAAAGTAGGAGATGGTGGTGCCACTGGCCGTGTCCGGAGCATCGTCCTAGGAGTGACCACCATAAACAGGCAACGAAACCCTGGTGGATCGGATCAATGCCTGGGGCCAAAAATGATCCAAAAGGTAGGAAACTACTTCCGAGGAGAACAAATACATCATACACCATGATACCCAGAATTCATCTGATTTCGGGTTATCATAGTTGGGATTAGTTGGGGACATGATCCCAAGTGCTGGAAGCTGCGTCTCGGAAACGGCTTTCTAGTGGATCTCTTTAGTTTGGGGTGCCACACCTGTAAGGGATGTCTAGTATGGTGGGGGGAATGAATTCATCAGTTGTACATAAATAGGAATGATCATCAAGTGTCAAGTTGGTCTGAGGTCCACATGATTTGTTAAACCAAATAGTGATGCAACGCTACTAGTAAACAATCAGCTATGGGGGTTTTGATTGGATGATACACCCCTATCTGGGATGATTTATAACACGACTAGCCTGAAAATTATCAATGGCTGGAGATGGTTTATGGCGGTTTGCTACATTCCCTGCATGTGCATCCCTGTTACTGAGGGTGTAACAACAATTATGTAACCCAGTTATTTCCAAATATAAAGAAAGAAATAAATAAATAAATAAAAAATAAATATACATATATATATATACCAGTAGTACCCGCAGGAGGCGGGGCGGAAGTTGCCTTAGGGTTATACGGTTATACTTTAAGACCTGTCTCATCTATAGAACTTGCATGCGCCGTGCGCCAGCCAGGGCCGTGCGTGCGTGCTTTGTGCGAAACTGTGGCATTGTTGTTGTCCAAGAACATGACCTGCGAGCGACCCAGGTGCAGCGCAACGCCAAGCGAACACTTTCTTCACACTTCACAGTGCACGCTTCACACCCCGCACTTCACACTTCACACTTGCACTTCACACTCCACACTTCATCTCATCTCAAATCATGTGAGCTCTTCTCACCTCTTCTCACCTCATCTCACCTCTTCTCATCTCATCCCATCTCTTCCCGCATGTCATCTTAGTAAGTTCTTCTCAACTGTTTTTATCTCATCCGAGCACTGATCAGCCTTTCTCATCTCCTCGAAGTTCGTCTCAACTCATCTCAGCTGATCTGCACGCCAGAAAGCTCTTAACTGTCAGACAAGTCTTCTGCACAAAAAAACCATTGGGCGTAGAAAGCTTTTGCACACAGGAGCTTGAGACACAGATGCATTTACACAGAAAAGCCTTTCCAAAATACTTTGTACCACAAAGCTTGCACAAAGCACTTCCTATCACTACTTTGTACTGCAAAGCTTGCACAAAGCACTTCCCAGTACTACTTCGTACTACCAAGCTTGCACAAAGCACGTCCAGTACTACTTTGTACTAATTACAAAGCTTGCACAAAGCACTTCCAAGTACTACTTTGTACTACGAAGTTTGCTCAAAGCACTTCCCAGTACTACTTTATACTACAAAGCTTGCACAAAGTACTTCCCAGTACTATTTGTACTACGACACTTGCACAGAGCACTTCGCAGTACTAGTTTGTACTACAAAACTTGCACAACGTACGTCCCAGTACTAATTTGTACTACAAAAAGCTTGCACAAAGTACTTCCCAGTAATACTTTGTACTACAAAGCTTGCACAAAGAACTTCCCAGTACTGCTTGATACTACAAAGCATGCGCGAAGCACGTTCCAGTACTACATTGTACTACAAAGCTTGCACAAAGCACGTCCAGTACTACTTTGTACTAATTACAAAGCTAGCACAAAGCACTTCCAAGTACTACTTTGTACTACAAACCCACAACTTCCTAGATTGCTTAATTAAGCAAGACTGCTTAATTCAGCAATCTTCATTTAGCACCTCTTCGCGTTTTAGAGTGCTTAATTAAGCAATCTGAACTTTCTCTAGATTGCTTAATTAAGCAATGTATAGATTGCTTAATTAAGCAATCTATTTTTGGCTCAATCATATGTTTACTTGCATGGATTGCTTCTGCGCCATGGGTGCAAAAGGTGTTTCTGGCTTGTCTTTGCATGCATCTTGCAGCAGTGTTGACAACTTCGAGAAGTTGAGTAATGTGATTGGGGGCATTGGAGCAAAAGAAAAAACTAGCTAGGTAAGGTTTGTAAAATGTCAAAGGGAAAGAAATGGGAGATGTATAGTAGGGTGAATCAAATAATTGTTGGGGAACAAACAAGTGATTTGTGTTGCTAGATGTTGTGACTTAAATACCAAGCTTTATGGTTCAAAAAAAACATTATGGTGATTACTTTTTTTTGATGAATACTTTTGGGCAAAAGGAACCATTAATAGACACACCACCCAATCCTTTGAGGAATGTTTACCAATAAAAAGTAATTATAAAATAATAATAGCACTAATTAAAACAAATATGTTGGTCATATGTTTGGTTGATTCCTGGTATCCTTCAGCCATGGCAGGTGCAGACTTTTTGGTGCAGCAGCGCAGCATCTCCTCAGAGGAGATTATTGTGAGGATTCTCAGTGGATTTGGGTGCCAATGCAGTTTGTGTCAGCTGGCAAGTTCATGTTAGAGTTGAAACATTCTTTTCAGATGTAGCAAGTCCTATGCTGTAGTGGGTTTCAACTGCATACATGTGAACAGCTGGCAACCTTGTAGCATCTCTTTGGTCAAATTGGAAATTGCGCCATGGGTCACATGGCTTTGAGGAGAAGTGCAGCCTTTTTCATGGAGGCTAGGTCTAGTGGGTAGTGGGTTGTTGGTTGTTGGTTATGTCATAGGTGGGTCATGTGGCAAAGGTTCCAACATGTTGAGTGAACACTCCTCAGAGGAGTGATGCTAAGAACAATGCAGATTTCATACTGTTAGTTTCCAGCAGAGTGCTTACTGAGCAAAGTCTTTTCCTTTTTGCTTGCACTACAGCAAGAAATGCAGAAGAAAGAGATGAAGAAGAAGGAAATAATGGAGGACGAGGAGGGGGAGGTGAGAATGGAGGAGGGTGAAATGAGAATGGTGGAGGAAATGAGGATGGTGGAGGAGGAAATGAGGATGGTGGACAAGGAAATGAGGATGGAGGAGGAGGGGACGAGCCTGGAGGTGATGATGATGATGGCCAAGGCAATGGAGAGGAAGAGAATGAGGAGGAGAATAAAGAAGATGAGACAGAAGAGAATTTGGAGGAGAATCAAGATCAGACAGAAGAGAATCAGGATCAGGTAGAAGAGAATGAGGAGAAGGAGAAGGAGAAGGATCTTCCAGCCACCCCTCCAGTAGAAGCCTCAAGCTCAGAAGAAGAATGGAGGCAGAGAGGCCTGAACGCAGACGATATCAGGACAAAGAGGTTCAGGAAAGAGCAAAGGCACAGGCTCTGTGAACAAGGGAAGAGGTCACTTGAGGCAACACAAGAGGAAATGACAGACTCCGAACGTGTAGAGAACATGGCCACTGCACTGGAATGGGCCTCCTTAGAGGAGAGGAAGGCTCTGGAAAAGGAGAAAACCAAGAAGAGAATGGAGGAGGAAATCAAAAACAGACCTGTTGCAGAGGAGCAAGGCAAGAAGGTAGAGGAGTTGCTCAGAGATATAGAAAAGATGCATGTCGTGGAGAAAGAAAAAAGCCACTGCAAGAAGTGAAAGAGGAACCTGTGTCAGAAGACGAAGGATTGGTCTTGCAGGACTTGAGATTTCGCACCAATTGTCGCTCAAAAATCTTACCTACGCCGAGGATTGTGCGTGAACCTGTAGTGCACATCCTACTACCTCAATCAAGAAGATTGTGGCAGCAAGTTGGTACAGAGAGGACCAAAGGAGAATGCAAGGAGGTGGACAGTAGATGCCTTCCAAAAGGAATCGTATCGCAAAGTCGAGTCCCAACTGCTCACCCAGGCCCTGGATGATGAGGTGAAGACGTTCTCAGAGGACTAGAAAGGAAGGCATTGAAAAGATGGTAGCAAAACCCAAACAAACCCAAGCCAATGCCAAGGAAGGTGCAGACAAGTCCAGGGCCAGGCCCAATGGAGACCATAGTCATCGAGGACTTGGAAACTGGCCAACAAGCCCAGCATGAAACTGGCCTGGAAGAGCAGCCTCCTCCAGAGGAGGCAGAGGAGGATGCTGCCATGTATGAGGCTGTTCTCCAAGCATCATACCGTACAAAAAAAAAAGGCCAGAAACGCATCAAGAGCCTCATAGAGCATACCAAAGCAAAAAAACAGAAGGGCCTCTGGCAGGGACCTCCACAGCCTGGGGCCAGTTGGAATGGCACAAGAGAGCTCCAGTGCCAGTGGAAAACCCTCCAGGGCCAGCGCCAGTGGAAAACCAAGTGTCACCCTACCATGGCGCCAGGATCAATCCAGCCATTGGAACCAGTCCCAGTGGAAGCAATACCAACGCAGAAAGAAGTGGAGCTGAAGTTGGAGGTACAGCAGAAGATCCATGGCGCAGCTGATTCTTCAATTCTGGTTAAAAAAAAGAGTTGCAGAGCTGCTGATGTGGCTACTCCTCAGAGGAGTTGCTGTGCCAAGAATTGTAATCTGTCTTCATCTCCTCAGAGGAGATTATGTCAGATTTGTTTCTTGCTGCTCATGTTCAGGCTCACAGAAGCAGCATGTCAGCCTTTGCACAGTCATAATCATGCATCCCTTGGCTTACTGAGGCTAGGCCCTGCTGCAACAATGTGTGTGGATCCTCAAAGTTCCAGCCAAGGTGTTTGCTGCAGCAGTTCCTAGAATCAAAACTTTATTCTGGTCCAGGCAGTTTTGTCATTTGCCAGATTGTCTTGTCATTGCTTTGTCCTATCTGCAGTATAGCAAGTTTGCCTACATGTAACCCAACCATATAGATATGTAAAACTCCTCTGAGGAGTGTTTAACAAATACACTGCACACACACACACACACTTTGCATTCACAATAATTTCACACAATTGTGGCATATTCTGAACCCCCCAGAGGAGTTCAAGATTATTGCACCCTTCAAGCAAACCTTCAACATCATAGGCATGCCAGCACTTGCCAGCTCAGGTTTGAGAGGAAACTACACAATGGCTGGGCA